ATCCCTAACACCGAAATTCGTTTAATTGGCGACTTACAACCCAACTACTTCCACGCCAAAGAAAAAGCCTATAACGACTTATTCTCCATTCTCTTTATTGATTTTGACCATTCTTTACATAAAAATATTGGTAAATTAAGAACCAAACCATCAGAGTTAATTTGTATCATGGCTCAAAAAAACTGTAATTAATTAGCTAGCACTTAGCAATTTTTTCTTCCTTTCCCAATCTCTACCAAATTTTTTCTGATTTCTGGCCAATTTTTCTAACCTTTCCAAAAAAAATCAAGCAAATTTTTTCGCCAAATTTTTGATATGTAGTTCTAAATGCCTATCTTCATGTCAATTGATATGTAAATCTTCATGTCAAAAAACCCCCTCCATCGCCATTAAACCAACTTACTAAAATACAAAATATAGCACTGTAATCTACCTGGTATCAGAAAATTATTACTGCCTTTTCAGAAAAAATATTGCAGGCTCTCCTTAGAAATCTAAGCAACCTTCCAGCTCTCCCAAGATTAGCAACTGAAACAAATATTTACTTCTGAACTTCTAAGCCCTGTATAGGAAATAAATATTAAAGAAATAATGTCTTTTTTAAAGCATTATTCGATTTACGAAAGAAATAAATAAAAATATGGATAAAATAACTGATTCAAAATATACTTACCTCGCTTTTGGTATCGTGGCTGGTTTAGTGGTAGCCTATGGCTATCAGCACTGAATTAAAAAAGAATAGACTATGTTGAAAAAGCCTATTAAGAGAGTTCAACCTAAATCGGAACTAAATCAAGCTTACGAACTAGTCGCCCAAGACTTATACTCTGCTCTGAAAAAAGCCAAGGATGGTGCGATTATTAAGTTAGGAAGTTGCGGAACCTTTCACAAAAAAAGAACCCGAGTGCAAAATCCCTACGGAGCTGCTTATCTTTATTACCGCATAAGTTTTAAAGTTTCTAACTCTCTCAAAAAAGAATTAGACTAATATTATGGATAAAAAAGTATTTTTGCTAGTGGTAGCTGCCGTTTGTGTTGGTCTCTATTTTTACGGACAACAGATTAAAAAAGATAACGAGTATCTGAAATACTTACCGGCTATTGGTGGCGGAGCTTATGCCTTGAACTTCATTGTTAATTTAGCCACTCAATAACTCAAATTATGAACAACTTCAATAATCAACAAAATCAAGAGCAAAACCAACTCAATAATCAAAGCCCTAATCAAGAACCTTCGGGACTAATGAAAATGGTGGGTCAATCCTTACCCTTTTTACCTTTATTATTCGAACAGTTTACGGGTCAGAAAGTTCCGCAAATGTCCGGAACCATGTTTGAAATTCAAATGGCTCTGAACCAAATATTAAGTAATCAGCAATCCCTTAATCAGAGATTAATTGCCTTAGAAAACAATGCTAGTCAGCAATTTACTAATTTAGTTCAGCAAGTCCAAAGCATTAAGTCCGTTCGCTTGACTCACGACCGCGAAAGAAAGCAAATCGATTATAACTTACAGCAAGCCGATGAAGCTAACAAATATTAACCATGTCTCTTTTCCCTGACATCACACCCTTAATTAAGGAAACTGAAAAGTTTAACCAAAATCAGCAAAGAATTATCGCCCTGTTAGAGGAACAAAATAAATTGATAAAAGAATTACTAATTAAAAAAAACTAATCAAATTATGGCAATTAAAGAAGAAAACGAAACTAACGAAAAAATGAGCAACAAACGAGGCATTCTCGTGCGGGAAGACTTAGAATATTCCGCCCAAAAACTGTTTACTTACGCCACTATTGGCCTAACTGCGATTGGCATTTATGTCTCAGTAGCTTATTTAGTAGTTCAGCAATTAAAAAAATAAACATTTAAAAAATATGACAAGACCTAATGAAAATATCGAAAACGAAAACAGTTGAACTTCCTGAGCAACTGGCAAACTTGCTATGTTCGCGATTGGTTTAGCGGCTGGTTATTTTTTATACCAAAGTGGTATATTACAAAAAGTAACTGGTAAACTATTCAGTAAAAAAGAAGAGGATAATCACAGTAAAAGTAAAGAAAGAAGCCGCGAATAAACGGCTCTTTTAACCTAGTAAAAAAATATGACTGACTTC